GGGATTTGCAATTATTACTTTTTAGAATGCATTGTTATTACATGAAAATACAATTACAATCATAGTTATCTTTATTTCTCAAAACCTTAGAATATTGCACGAGTTCAGCTTTTTTGTTCTCAACCTTTTTGTATTAATGAATGCATCAATGCTTTGTTGTACAGAGCCTTTCTGCATGTGGCACTGCTAAGTAGTAATGTAAAGCCATGAGGTCTGCACGGGAAAATGACATCATTTTAGCACACAACTTTCTTTTACAAATTTTTTCTTCGTGGCTACATTTTTTAAAACAGTACATGTAGAGAGAAAATTGTAATTATGCAGACAGTTCCTTAGGCAAGACACTTTGAGCCTATGTGTAGTTCTTCAACCTCAGTCCTTCCCCATGAAGCTCCCCGAAATCCTCGAATGGATTTTGCTTGACAAACTTCCCAGGGAAGGTTACAGATATTCCTGTTTCTTGCGCACCTTTTACCTACCAGCATTTTTTCTTCCACTCAATGTTCCACAACTGTTTAGATGCAGCACTCTGTGAACACCCATCTTCTTTAGCAATGGCCTTTTGTAGCTACTCTTCCTGATTACAGGGTGTCAGCGAATGTCCGCTGGAAACCTTTCAAGTCAGCAGTCTTCCTCCTGGTAATGTAACCTTCTGACCCAAGCTTGGAGACCAATTAAAGGCTTTGGAAAAGTTTGCAGTTGTTTAGAGCTGTTTATGGTATGACATAAGCCTTTTACAATATATCACTTTGTTTTCTAAAAAATCAAATTTCCCATTTGAAATATCTGTAATATCTGTCCATAACAATGAAAATGTGAAGAAATAAAGGATTTAAAGATAATCCACACTATGTATATGTTACCTAAAGAGGGATATTATGCTACAACAAAAACTATGTTAAGGCTTTGGTACATCTTTGCCAGAGGTGCAAGTATTTCTTATGACTATTTCAAGTAGTTTTGAAAGTATGTATGGGGTAGTCTAATATGAATGTGAAAATTCATAAGATAGATGTTATAACAGGAAGAACATGTGAGAATTAAAACATTTGAAAAGCAGGAAAATCTTTACTCTCATATCAAACTATCAAGACACTATCTTTTTGAAAATTATATATTTTTTAATCAACCATCAGGCTTGTTTCCCAGTTTTCACCATCTGAAAAAAATAGAAGAAAAAAATATATTAGACGCAGAGGCGCCTATTACCAGCAATCTGTTTTTTTTCTATGGCACTAATGTTAAGATGACCCACTAGTATCACACTTTCTTTGATAACGCTAACTCTTAGTGGATAAATACTCAAATAAATATGAAATTCAGACTGTCATACTTTTCAACCTCTTCACCAGCCTGCAAATGCCACACTGATTATGCTGCACACAGCCTGTTTTAACAAGTTTTAATGCAAATACCAGAACCTATACATAATATCAATGTATCTGGTACAAAACAACAACTTTTAAAAACGAAAGCAAAAGTCAAAACAAGGAGGAGACAATCAATACAGGGTTGCAGGAGGAAGTGTGTAGCAGGCAAAAATATAGGGCAGCATTTGCATCAGAGGGAAATTTGGGAGAGGGCGGTGTCTACACACTAAAAGTTGGCCTTCAGTTTTCTTATCTGTTATGGTTGTTTGGGGAATACAACTGCTAGTCTGAGATAGGAAATACAAAGAAAGAGGACAGTAGGGGGAAAAAAAACAGCAAAGTTTTTTGTTTTTTAAAACTGGGGATGTTAGTAGGTGACAAAAACTTCTCCACCTCACTGTAGCTGAAGTGTCTCAGCCAGATGGTATTTGTCTAAAAGTGGAAGATAGGAAGGCTAGAAATAAACTGTTCGGGACAGCTCGTTGATAAGATGCATCCTGAGATCAGAGACTGCTGGAACACCTGGCGCTTCCTCAACCAGAGCAAATGCTCACAGGTTTTGCTTCTGGATTTAAGACCTTGGTCAACATTCGGCATACTGTCTCTAATTAAGCTAATTTATTCAACGTATGTAGCCAAACCCCTTTAGGATACTCCTATCTTAAATTTAATGACCAATTTTTACTTTTCTCATAAACTTTTCTCTCTGAAAACATTTTAGCTGTAGATATTTTGTAGATCATGCAATTCATCCATCTCTGTTATGTAGATGTATCTGAGGGCTCAGTATAAGACTGTAAATATTTATAACCACCTCACTGTGCATAAGACTCATCCTCCACAGATCTGTGCTCCGGCTTTCCTTGCCGGCTCTTTCCTTGTCCTACTTGTTGCACCATCTGACAGCCCCATGAAGTGTCTAAATCTATCTGAGCAGCATGCACTGTGCTTTCTTCCCTCAAGACTTACCAGTTGGAATCTGCTCATTACCATGACAGAAACTTGTCTATAATGTAGACTCAAGTTGCTGGTAAACACACTGGATTTAGTAGAGGTAGCTCAGGTGTATTGATGGAATGTGCATCTGTTTCTGCATGTGCATTTTAGCCTTTAGTTTAATATGAGCACAAGCAGAACCTTCTTCACAATCAGGTCAGCATTGATAACACATTAGAGAAAATTCTGCCATTAGATAAGCATACTCCTCTCCGACTGTGCATTTTGGAAATTTCTGGCTAGAAACTGGGACGTTTTTAGGATACCTCATTATGCAATTCCCTGATTTATGCTTCTCGGCACAATCTAACAATCACAACCTTTAATATGAATGCTCAATTTGACATCTTCGCCCACCTTCTTTTTAGTGTTCTCACCTTCTTGAAAAAGAAAATCAGCTCCAGCCTCAGTCACCTATACTTCTAATAAGTGTTACATCCATGTGCAGATATGAAACCCATAATCTTGTAGTTGTTTTCCTCTGCATGTTAGTTTTTCATACTCAATAGGTCTTTTAGCCCGATGCAGTTGGGAAGCTCATTCCTTACTCTTTTTGTCAGTGAAATTATATCCTTTTATACTCTACTCCAGGACTTGTTGTAATTTGGTTTCTGTGTTGTTTTTGTCTTTGTCCTTCTGACACATTTTTGATATCTTTTCACCTTTTGCATGATTCTGTTCACATTTTTTAAAAGCTTTCTGTTTGCTGCGTTTCAAACCTTGGTTTTCTGAAATAGTTGATGGTAGGGCTTCAGGTGGTGGATCATTTACTGCCTTCAGTCTGTGGAAGTGATTATCCAGCTGGATGTCTTGGCCTGCTGTATACAGTGCCTTGAAAATACATGTACTCCTATTTAGGTATATAATTTTTCACGATATAGAAACAAATGTATTTTTACTTTTCTCTTTTTTTCTACTTTTTTTATTTAAGAATTTTGGCATGTATTTTTATTCAGGTCCACAATAATTGGAGCTTCAGCTTTTAAGTCTTTCGGGGCACATCTGTACCATGATTGCAGCTTAAAAACATAGGCAGAGAAGGACATTTGTCTCAGTATCAACTTTAAAGTCCAGCACAGATGATTTTTTAATGAATTGATTTTTTAATCATGTGAGTATCTTCTTTCACGCTTTCCGTATCACCTACATGGATTGGGAAAACCTTAAAAATGCACTTTTATGCCATTCTTTCAGTTGTCTTTATCCTTGTCTTGTAGAGGTTCGATTTGTGAAGTTCATGGGTTTTTTCATATCAACAATTCTTTTTCACCAGAGCTTTAGATCTCTGAGGCTGCTGCAGGGTTGGATACATACATTTACACAACAGATTTTATTTTAACAAAATTTTACCATCATCCCACCCCTATAGTCTCCTTTTTATTGATTTGATGCATATAATCACAATATAATAGGAAAAGAAAAGCTGTGAAAGAGTTCTTAGGCTTACTGTTAGTTCCTGTGTGGTAAAAGCCTGTTTATTTTGGTCTTTAAATTAATGTTGTCACTCCTCAATGTTAGCCTGCTAATAACAGGGGACTAACAGAATGATTCTAGGGCTGCGTCACTTTTTCTGTCCTCCCCTGGGCTGCAGTGTCTATTTGTCTCATCCTCATGTATAATTCACATCTGGTCGCAACGTTTTCCCCAAGACTTAGCTTTCCACGTTAAAAGTTGGCATTGGTAAGGAGATTTTTCTGCTCTGCTGGGAAGTTTTTCCTACTTGATTTTTTTTTTCAAGAAATGTAATTGTTCTTTTTCTTTTCTCTCTCTCTCTTTCTCTCCTCGTTTCTTTCTCTCGTCCTTTCAGATAAATGTCCTTTTTTTTTGCTCTACAAGAAACCATTTTCATTGTTTTGTACAATGCTTTCAAATTAAGGATCGATTCATATTACTAGGTGTAATTTGGAAATTTTTTGGAGAAAGTTTTACAGAGCAGCCTTTTATTTTGGGATTTCTACATCACAAAAGAAAGAAGAAAAAAGAAAAGCTGTTAAATCTTTCACTTGGTCAAGACAAGTTGGGAATTTAAGCTGGAAAGATAAGAAAAATACTAAATGGTTAGAGCAAGAATAATGTTAGAATATAAATACTATTTTTAAATGGTTGAGTTGGATGTTTATAAAAATGTTGGGGATCGTGAGATTATTCGGTTCATTTTAAATAATGGAGGTTTACTTATGAACCAGTTGAGTTAAGACGAGTGTTTATTACTGAGTGAATAAATGACTTTTTAAAAAGTTAAAAGTCTTCCTTACTTTCTCTTTCTCTCTTTTTCTCTTTTTTCTGTCTTCTTATCTCTTTAATTCACTCACTCACTTACATCTACATACTAAGGGGGAAAATACTGTATTTAGCTTACTTTAGTCATGACATTTGGGTTCCCTTAAAGGGGAAATTAATTCAAACTCAAAATCTGGTGTGAACGCGAAGGATGGAGGATGAGTACTTTATGACACACATTTGTGCTTTGTCAGTTCAAGTGATGACTATGTTTAAGAGTGAGAACCAACTAATACAAGACCATTGCTGAGGTTTCTGCTGGTCATAAAGTTAATGAATCTACATGTTATAAAAGGCTTAAGCAGAAACTTGATCTAATAACAAGTGTCCTCAATTTGTCTTTTCCCCTCACAGTGTCTCTTCAGGACATCACCATGAGGAAGGCCTTCAGGAGTTCTACCATTCAGGACCAGCAGCTGTTTGACCGCTCATCCCTCCCCGTCCCTCTGCAGGAAAGCCTCCAGACCTGCGAGGAGCCGCCTCCTCTCAACATCCTCACGCCCTACAGGTCTGAAAACTGTTGTTTCATGCAAAAACCTACGGTGGACCTTAAGTGCGAACCACATCAACAAATCGTTAAGCACAACTCCAAATTTTGAAGAAATAAAAACGTAACAACATATTTAGAAAACACAACTTATTCAAAGATGCAACATTTTCAGAATCACATCATTAACATGAGAACTCATTGATTGGACGACAGCAGCGTTTGGCTTTTAAACTGGAATTCATTCTGCTTATACTTACTCATTAAACATTAGAACAGAAAAGGCAGACTGACTTCCAGTTTAAAAGCCTGTCATCCAATCAGCGAGGTCTCAGGTTTCCCAATAATATCTACCTCGTCTGGCTGGTTAATGTCATCGTGAAAATGTTGCTTTGTTTCTAAATATGCTTGTGTGTTTTTTATTACGTTCTGTCGTTTTTTAATTTGTAGTTGTGTTTAAAGATTTATTGATGTGGTTCGCACTTAAGGGCCACCGTAAAACACTTTTACCTCATCACAGTGGCCATCATGAAGTTAATGAAATTATCTTTTAAATGCACCTTTGGCAACCAGTGAAAATAATTTATGAACGTTTGAATACCACAGCGCTATCAGAGGGAACTGATATGATAGTGGATAAAAAAAAAAAAAATGTGTTCTTTTGCTTGTTTTTCTGATTTTCTTGACTGTTCCGAACCATATTTTATCACACAAAGGAATTTTTGACCAGAAGCAGCAGCAGCATTAAGTTTTTCAAAAGCACCAGGCTTAAAAATAACAAATTTATTTTCCAAAATCATCTGTCCTCTTGTTTAAATAGGTCAGCGTGTCACATAGTTGGGCTGATATTTTCTTTCTCTAAAGCTTTTCTTAACACCTGTGCTTTCATGCTGCTGAAAGAGCCAAGCTGATTGAGATTTTGATGCTTTAAAACAAAATGTACAAATTAAGATGGTAATACCAGGGTATTTCTTTGCAGGAATACTGTAGAAGAACTGTGTGATTAAAACATATCCATGCAATGGGATTCTGCACAAATTCAGAATAAACCAGAGGCATTGATCTGTGCTGTAATAAGAGTTTTATGTGTAAAGAGGTATAGTCGTGAGCAGAGTATTTATGTACTCAGCTTTTATATACTCTGCATATACGCTGTGATCAGACTGTGTTTTTCTTGCAAATTTTCACAAATTGAGCTGAAGAAGCTAAAGCAAATCATGCTTTGAGACAGGCTCGTAAGGACAGAAATGCCAATTTAAATTGGTATCTTGTATGTATCAAAACCACACTATATCATTTTGTGAGTTCCAGTCATTTTGTGCTCAGGGTCTTGTAGCTACCAAACAAAAACAACTCTCAGCCAGATATCAGATTAAAAAGAAAGAGAATAAAATCCTAAGTAAAAAAAAAAAAAACTTTAAATGACTTTCAGTAAAGGCAAAAGCAAAAAAAAAAATATTGATCAGTACCACTTCAAAATAGTTACAAGAAAACCAGATGATGAAAACAAAAAAATTAAGAAAAAGAGACTGTTTAAAAAATCTACAGCATGCAAAATCTACTTTTTCTGAGCAATATAATATTATTCTGGTAATGTGACGTCAAGCTTAAAGGTATAGTGGAGGATTTCCGTGAATTTTTTAAAAGAACCGCCCTTTCCACTTTTCCGAGAGGGAACGCCTATTAAACGTGCACAAGCCCATTTCTCCTCGTGCACCCTCTGTTTAAAAGTTGCTGTTTGCATCGCTCACGCAAGCTTGCTTTCAAAAAGAAGATTTGCAATTTTCCATTATGTCAGGCTCATCACCGGTAAGTGAAAAAGGGGACGAGCATGTGGGACAGCCTTATGTAAGCATGTCACCAGATGATTGACAAATAGGATGACCTCTTATTTTGATGATCCACCCAGAAAAAGAACATCCTCCACTATACCTTTAAGCTTTACTCCCCAAACTCTAGACGAATTGGGTCTTTTAGCACCAAGCAGAAACTTTTCTTAGCTACTGCAAAGTTGCAGAATTTTACGCGGGTGTAAAATGTTTATTTGTTTATTCTACCTGTTTATTCTACCTAAAGAACAGTCTAATCACTAGGGGAGTTGTTACCATGCTACAGCAGCTATGGAGCAATGCAGTTGAAGGCAGATCACTGTGAGAAAAATCCCTTTGTAATTGGCTGAAAGAAAATAATATCCCATAAAATAATGAATACCTGTAATTTAAAGGCAATATTTCCTGATATGCGTGCCTTGAGTTGACCTTGGGAGGGTTAAAAAAGCATGAAGTCAAACCTTAAAGACATTTTCTTACCCGGTTTTCAGCGATGAAATTCATGTTGATCATAATTAGAAATTGGTTTCTTACATTTACCGTACTTTGAATGTAAAAAAAAACAGCATGTTAAAAGAAAACCAGTTCAAGGATAACATCCCTGTAGCTGTTTATGAAGGTCATTACTTGGTCTGTTCTGCTTCTTTGGTTTTCATCTTCTGTCTTTTTTTCCTCAGAATTCCACTGAATTTTAGTCTCCTTCTCCTCCTCTAGAGCTGATTGGTTCATCAGAGCTGAATGGGTGATCAGGCTTATCAGGGGTGATAGTTTCATTCCTTTGATTAATAATTTAACCCTCAACTAGATTTTTTTTTTATCTTGCTGTTCATTCTTTCATCCTTTTCACTTACTGTTTTCTTTTCATTATGTTTTCTACTCTTTTCCTCATTGCCTCACACCACTCTCTCCTAGACCTCCCCAGGCACTTATTCTCCAGATGTACCCTTAAGACAGCTTCTACTCTGCTTTTATTTCTCCTTTTTATACACGAGCATGTAAATAACTCCAAACCAAATAAAAATACCAAAGCATAATGATTTACACTCAAATCATACCTGCTGCAGCACAAACCCACACTTCAGTAGCTTTCTCAGTCTTCCCCTGCCTTATCACATTGTTAAATTCCATTTTGTTCCCTTTGTTGTGTTGCATATCATTTAACTTTCCACTCCTTCTGTTTGAAGCCGATTCTTTTCATCTCTTATGTGCTCGCTCTTATTGGTGTCATTGCCTATTAATTGCCTCCCAAGACGTAGCAGAGGCTGGATAAAGCAAACTACTCACGGATTAAAGTTAACAGCCAAGACGCTTCAGATATTTTTTTATGTCTCAAAAACAGGCAGGAGTGTGCCCCATCTTTCATCTATCCAAGTCAGGTTTTCAAACATAACAGGTCAAGGAGCCCTACCCCAATATTCCTCTCCCCTGCCAATCTCTGCAACACAACACAGGCATTTCCATGCTAAAAGCGGAACATTTCTGTCAGTTCAGACTTCTGTGTTTACTCCAGGTTCTCCTCCCAGTAAGAGATGGCAGGAAAGGGACTCACCCATGTGGCCTTCTCATCAAATACCCTAACGACCCTAGCTGATTTCTTTAGATTTTTAAAGAGACGTAGCTCTACTTCAAGGTCCCCTGAGATAACTGAGATCGTCACCCTATTCCAATCCAGTTAAATGCTACAGAAGGAGCTCAAATCAGTCGTTTCAGGATCTAGATCTTTTTGTAATAATTCATATAATCTGACACAGGTGTGGTTTAGCACAAATAATGTTATAAATTGAAATATTTTCTTTGTGTTTTTTTTTTTTTACCAAACAAGCCAAAGAAGCCTGTGGTTAACTACAGAACAGACAGTCAACAATACACCAAGGCTCCTGGACTCCCTGTTTGAGATAGAATCTGACCCTGATCTGGCAGAAGTCCATCTTTTTTCTGACCTATGGCTTCAGATAGTTATGATGTAAAACTTTAACACTTTTCCAGATCACACTGGATATAATCTCCTTAGCTAAATATGACTGATAGTGGCCTTTTTTTTTTTTTAAATACTTAAAAGTTGTCACGTAATCTATGTCAAAGTGTTCCATTATGCTGGAAAAAGCACCGTTGTTTGCTAATTTGTTCCTGATTCACTGTGCTACAGTGCTGCTGAAAAGGGGTTTAATATAATTATTTATTAACAACACATTTTAATAAAAAAAAGGGTTGTGAGAGCATTTCCTTGGACAAGAGACAAGATTTAATCTTTTATTTATCCCCAAGGATTTTTTTCCCAGATGTCCCAAATAGTATAAAGCTTCAAGGGAAAAAAACAACTAAAAACAACAACCTCCTGCAGACCAATGATGCTTCCTGCACAATGTCAGTCTGTTTTAAAGGTTTTACTTGGACAAAAGTAAACTATTTGCTTTTTTTTTGCATTTGGAGACATAAAACTTGACTGCTGCTGTTCCTTTGCAAGCAATGAACAATTAGAATTCCAATTAAGACAGTCCTGGCACTTTGTGGACTTTCTTGGCTGACCAGAAGCTTTATTCCTCTTTAATGCAAGGTCACTATGATGGCACTGGTTTCCTTGGATGCAACCATGGTTTACAAAAAGGAATAATCCCTAAGAACTAAGAACTTGTGGTATTTGAAAAAAAAAACATCTGCTCCTCTAGTTTAGTTAAAATAATGGAGTGGATATCAGCTTTCCGGTTCTTGTTAACACTTTCCCTGTGACCTATGGAAAAGATCACTGAAGTAATTCTTGTATGTTACATTATGGCAGGGCTAATGATGAAGCCAATTTTTATGAACGCTTGTTAAATTGGCAGATAATTGCATTTAAAATGTTTTGTGTACTATAACCACACAAAGAAAGAAAACAAATGTAAATACATTTACATAAACTTTTTCCTGTGTTTTAAAACATTCAATAAAAACTTCTATGTTAAAATGTTGTTGATACCTTTTCAATGATGGTATAATATGTTCAAGTGGAAAAGAAAACTTTACAACTATACAATTTTTTTTGCATCTTGGACTTGTATCCTACTTTTTAAGGAAATATCTTTTATAGCAGAAAAACAAACACAGGAGGATGGTCAATTGGTTCATATTACAAAACTCCATAAAAGAATCAAAGAATAATTTAATTTAGGATCTTGTTTTGATAATTTTCTCGTCAAAAGGGAACCTCTTTAATGCAATATCAAGGCCTGTTTCTTCTCCATTATCATCAGTAGTAATAGAGTCCTGGGTAATATAGGGCAGGAAAACAAGAAAGCAAATGTGAATTATTGCAAATAATATGCATATAAAAAATAGTAAGCAAGAAAGACATGGAAAGAAAGATGAACAACAAGACATTGAAGTATCTTATTCATTTTAATATTGCATTAATTTCTGTAATTATGTTACTAAAAATAGAATTGATTGGGAAATGCCATTTTTCAGCTTTTTCTGTGGTTTGATATACCCCACAGCACTAACTGAATTTCCTACTGCATGAAACCAATGACATCAGATTT